ACTATATAAAGTCTATTTATTTATTCATGTATTTATTTACCTAATTATTAAGTTTTTATTTTGTATTTATTTTTTTAATTAGCCTTGAACAAAATGTTATATACTTTTACATTTTTTTTATATTATTTATAGACAATAAAAATTCTTCCAGCAAATAGAAATGTGTGGGTGGGTCTTTTTTACATACAAAAAGCATGCAGATTTTCTTTTTAATGAGTCAGATCAAACAACATACAGGAAAATGTGAGGCTTCATTCAGATATTTACAGTAATACCTGATGTCTGATGATCATGTACAGTTCTTGTACTCATGTACTTTTATATTTTTTCTATATTATTTATAGACAATAAAAATTCTTCCAGTCTATTTATTTTTTTATCTACTTATTCATGTATTTATTGAATTGAGCTGTTTGCACTTATTATACAGTCAGTATTTATATAAATTAATACGTTGATTCATTTGTTGATTTATTTAACTTTTTTATACCTGCAAAAGCCAATAAAAATAAGACTTTCTCTAGCAAATGGACATGTTTTTATTCTTTTTTTTCCCTGTTACATAAACAAAAGGCATACATATTCTTCAGTATAACCAAACAAGAACAATAGAGCCTTGCTGAGGCTCTGATGAAGTGACATTTTCTCTCACAAAGATTTGTGATGAGCATGTTCTTAAATAATCAAACTGTCAAGTCTGATAAGAAAAATCACAAAATTAAAAAAATATAAAATCATACACACAAGCACTCTTTTACACACACTCAACTTTATCGAAAATAAATCATCTTGAAGCACCAAAAATGTCAGATGTTTGATTTTTTTGGAATTGTTAATTTACACTTCTGCAGACTTCAAATCACATCTGAATAATTCAACCCAGACTCACTAAAAAGCATAAAAACAATAGCAAATATATAGCAAGCAATTTGGAATATATAATAATATACATCTGACCATCCCCTCTAAGGACTTTCTCCAATGTTTTATTTTGATTTTTATCATCAAAAATAAAAGGTTTTTGTTATTGTGAGGATGTAGAGGTGAAAAGTAGTCGTCTCACTCCCATGGGGCCTCGGTTCCTTCAGCCTGGGCGTACACAGACAGTTCCTCATACAGACCTCCTCCACATGTCTCAATTGCCAAGCCCTGAGAGACAGAAACAAGTCAGTTTTAGTCAGTTGGTATGTATATGTGTGAGTCCCATGTGGCTTTGAGGAATCCCAGTATAGTTTGTGACTATGTTTGGGCATGCTGGTACAGCTTTAATTTGCATAGTCAATGATAAAGACATGACTCAGAGATAAAGATCTGCAGCTAACATCTTTTGTATTATTTGTACTAGCAACTTTGCGTTGAAAGAAACATCTGAGCTTAAGAACGGCCTACAGTAAACACATTTATTTGTCTCCAACTTTCCAGTCCCATTTAAAACATCCTAGTAAAACAGTAATCTGTCAGACATTTTCTCTCTTTAACAGAAGTTTGTTGCCATTTTTCAGACAAGAAGGTTTGAATACTGCAAGTGTATAAATCAATTACACCTTGTAAAAAGTGAGCCAAACAGCTACGCTAAAGCTACTTTCTACAGTTTGGGACCCAAACTCTGAAAAAACATAATCACTAGAGTCTTTAAAGTGTCTGTCTTAAAGCAGACCCATTTCTGTTACTACTACATTTCACTATAAATACTTAAAACAAAATTTTACATGAATTTTTCCACTTTTTCTGCTCTTTCCTTTTTGACTGTGTAAGTCAGTGTATATAGGTAATCTCCTTCCTTCAGTTGTTTTCTTGTATGTTCTGCATCAATACAATCTATTATTATTATATCCAAAGTTACTGTGTCATTATTCTTACAAAAAAGCAAGCTCAAGGTCCTTCCACATATCCAACTGTACAGGATATGTTCATAAATGATAAAAAACCCTAAGGGCTGCATTGACGGAACAAGATACAATTGTGGTTAAGAGCTCAGTGGTGTGTGTCCTGCTGTCTGTCTGTTTGTGTCTTGCACATGTATTTTTATATAAAGACACACAGCTGTGATGTGTCTTCTTAAATGCCACAAGTAAATGACCACTAATGACAAAAATAAATCTAATCTTTGATGAATATTTCGGTGACATAGAGACAAACCAACAAACCTCATAGATGTGATCAGTTTCAGGCTCCTCATATATGCTGTCATTCTGTTCCAGCTGTTTTAAAAAAAAAAGAAAAAGATGATGAAAAAGATTAAAAATGAATGTTAGCACCTTAAACTGTGCTGTAATGCTGGAATTATGAAAGTGAAGTTACGTTAGATCACTGAACCCACCAGCTGGCAGTTTGCTGTGCTCCTTTAAATGTAAAAAATGGCTAAAAGTTGTGTAGTTTTACGTGGTAACAACTGCATACCCTTCCCTCAAAGCCCAAGGGAAAATATTGCCAGAGGAAATGGATGCCCCCCCTTCAAATGAAAGGGAAGGACGGAAAAGCACACTGGTGAGCTATCATTTAACTGTCAGATCTGTTGCTACCACAGAGAAGCACTAACTTTATAGAGGCTGTTGCTTCATACATGCAACTAAATTGGGTATCTTTTATCTTTCAGCTTGAACAACTCTGTTAATCTGCCCTTGTTTGAACCGTGCACACAAGCCCCCCAGCCAAATGCAGCTAGGCCTATGTTTTGGCTGTGACCTGTCAACAAAGTGTTCTATACACTTTGGCTGCTCTTTTGCCTGTTGTATTCTAAAAATGTAATTTTTGGTTAATCTTGACATGTTGTCTGAATGTCTGAATGTAAACGATTTTTATTGCGCAAACTGCAATGCCAGACTTGCCAACAACTTTAACAGTGTTTCCTTTTCAAAACAAAATATTTTAAAATGGTCAAAACGGACATAAAAGTATTCAAGTATTCAAAGAGATATTTTTCAAATGTTCTTGCACAAGTAAGAAACAAATTGTCTTGTCAGAGAGATAGTCAGTAGTAGTGTTAGTAGGTAGGCTGGGGACAATATGAACATTTCATATCACGATTATCTTGAACAAAACCATTGCAATACATGATATTATCACGATTATCATGAAAATATACTTTTAAAATGACCCTAAAACATACTGGTATCACTGAATCTTACATTTTGTTAAGAAACATATTTATTGAATTGAACTGTTCTTTATTTTGGAATAAGCCATGTGAGCATATTCATGATTATCCTGATTATCACAATATTGGAAATTCACCACGATAAATGTATGTTTCTTTATCACGATATTCGATAATATCGTACATCCTGTGACACTCCTGCTGCCTATGGAAGAGTTACATCAGTTGTTTCAGCTATGCAGTATATAAAAATGCATGTCAAATGGGAAATTAAAACCAGTAAAGCGGTTCATCCAGTATATCACCCAGCACTATTTGAGAAGGAATATGAATATTGTTAATGCACATCCTCTGTTCTAGTCCGTCAAATTCCTATGCAAGGCCTACAATAAGTAGTAGTGCAGTCTGGTAAACCACATTTGTCGGAAGTAAGTGTTTTTTTTTGTTTTTCCCTCACCAGTTTCTGTTTGCGTAGAATTATAGCAGCAATACACACAGCCAACAGCAGGCTCTGGAGGACAATGAGTACATCCTTCATCTTGCTCCTGTACTGTGTCTGTCTCCGGGCAACTCGTCCTGGGAGAGGAAAGATGTGCGTTATTGGTGTGTGAAATGGTAGAGACCACTTCAGTCTCTCCATTATGTAGTACAGTAAATTACCACTCAAAGTAACTCAAATGTGTCTGCACAAAACATATCTTGTCCAAGCCTTACTGACAACTTGAACTGCAGTCCCAGATCCCCACAGGTTGTTCATCTTGCAGTAGTACACTCCTTGGTCCTCCATGTGCAAATCATCGATCTGGAGAAAGCCGCCTACATTCATAGTCATATTAAGTTTAGTCCTATTTCCTTCCTTTATCTCTTTTTTTTCTCCACCGTACTCAGCTGTCTTGTACCAAGTGACTGTCTGGTTGGGCTTTTTGGTGTATGGACAAAAAATGGTCAAAGAGAGGCCGGTTTTCATACCACAGAACCGGGGAGTCTGGCTGATCACCAGGATGTTGTCTTGGGCCACTGAGCAGACAAGAAGAAAGAAAGAAAGAAAGAAAGAAAGAAAGAAAGATTGAGGGACAATGTGACACAGTTACAGCTGCAGGTATTGTAAATCACACAGATTATTTAGCTATATTTTGTCCAACCACTGTTGGTCTTAGTATACTGTATGCCCCCAGTATGATGCTAGCTTTAAAATCACATTAAGTCCCAAGAAGAGAGGTGTACCTAGTGTGGATGTGGAGAGAATATAAATGTACTGTTTAGTTTAACTTAAAGTAATGGATGGTGGATGTACGATATCAATATATATTAATATATCAATATTGAAATGGTTGTAAATGATGTGCCCACGGATAAAAATCAAAAAACTGATTGCCGTAACCCATTTAAAACCATTTAAGCCTGAAAGATATTTGATTTGAGTAGAAGTAACTCAAGTATTTATCGTTAAGGTAACTTGGGTAAATTAAGTTAATTGTACCAATTACATTCAGTTAATTGAAGTTACACTCATATGCAGCATTTCTCCAAACTTATTTAAAATGTGTGTTTAAATTTACTCAGTTTTCTTCCACTAAAGCAAATTGTTACATTACCTGTCAAAACAGCTGACGTGCGATTAAAAACGATTTATCATTAACTGATTGTCAAAAAGGTACCAAATTCATTTTCTGTGGTTTTTCATGTGACTGACATCAAATCTTTACACTTTGTGGGATCATTCATACATTTTTGGATGCATACTTAGGCTTATGATTATTAATACACTGAAATAAAAACTAACAGACAACTTAAAGAAAATGAGTCAGTGGAACAAACTGGAATTATATTGCCTTAAAATACTGCACACATATACTTAAAATGCTGCACACATTTAAGTGCACTCCAAACAACTGAGCTGGTTCAACAGTTCATTTTTGAGTTGGGTTTAATTCATGTGAGTGAGTGACCCCAATTTAGGATTAATTTATGTTCACTCACTTCTTTTATGTTTATATTAAGATGTGTTGTCAGGTTTTACAGTGTGCTCAAATGATGTCTTTGTGTTTTGGTCTTACTTTGTACCCATACTACTCACCTATGTTGTAAGTATCAAAAATAAGTATGCAGAGACTTACTGTTGCTTACAGTAATTTAATTGTAGTCATTATGATTGGAAGTAATAATTGTTTTTTTTATTATAGATTAGTGTATTTATCTTGTTAATTAACTGATTAATAATTTTGTCAACAAAATGAACTAAAAACACAAAAAAATGCAAATAACAATGACATTTACACACAGAAAGGCAGAAAATTCTTACATTTGAAAACATGCAATCACATTTGACTTGATAAATACTTTTCTGTAAACTGACTCATCAATTAATCGACTAGTTGTGTCTGTGCTAAACACTATGCTGTTATTGTAGGGTGAGACAGCATTGAGCTATCATGGCCCAGCAGTTAATTCTATATTGACAGTGTAATGTAATGCTGAAACAATTAGTCGATTGATAGAAAATGAATCAAAAACAATTTGATAATCAACTAATCATTGAGGTCATTTATCAAGTGAGTGCCAAACATCTGCTTATTCCAGCTTCTTAAATGTGAAGATTTTCTGTGTTTTTAGTTTGAATATTATAAACTGGATATTTAAACTTTTGCCTCTGGGAAATCTTTAATGGCTATTTTTCACATTTCATTCTGACATTTCATTGACCAACTGTAGTAGTTGTCTAAAACTCATTTTTCAGATTACTCATAAGCTAAATAAACGTTACTTGCAGCCCTAGACTAATCAACTAATTTTTTCAGGACTTTATTTTACCATCATGTCAGGCAGTAAAAAGCAATGCTTTGTGTAAATGTATGTGTAGGACAAAGCACAGGATAATAGAAGTAATGCATTGATTAATCCAACCTAAAGCTGCATCATTGTATACCAAATATATATGTTAACGTTGTGGTGATTTTGTTGTTATGTATTTTAAATTCATCTTTTTCTTATTATCTGTTATCTCCATTATCATTCTCTAAAAGCAGACGACAAGCCTGAAATAAACTTTCATGGTTAGTTGATAGAAAGGGATAACTTGGTCTAGGTATTCTGTGTATACAGTATATTAAAATAAACAACACGACATCAGTCTTTGTCTCAGAAGACAACTTCCTCTTTCTCCCAGATGGCCAGGAAGTAAGGGTACTGTGGAGTCAAAAATAACATGCAAAACTCTTGTATGCAGTGTAGTTGTGGTTAAACAAAGACATAAAATTACAATTAAATGACTGTGTAAAGCATTGTGAAATGATTTGGCAAATTATACTGCTAGAGTAACATTCAGCGGTTTACTAATGCCAATATTTAGCATTAAGACTGTAACTGTTGTTTACATCATTTTCCTTTTTCAGTTGCTAAATAACTCGATCGTGTTGCAAAAGTTCACATTTACCTGAAATACTGATCAACGCAAGCCCACAGTATCCAGCCAGCAACCAGCGCATGATGACATGAAAAAAAGGAGCTTTTTCGAATGCCGATGTCCACACGTATGTTTCTCTAAATCTCTCTGCAGTCGCACCAATGTTGTGAAGAAGGAGAAGAAGTGTTTGCACCGGTGGGTGTGCTATCTGTTACACTTGCTTTAATCTCAGGCAAATAAGGGGAAGAGCAGTGTAACGTCAGCCCAAAATTTCTTGGAACAACCCACACTCTTGACATTAAAAACCTGTCCTATTTCATTCACATATGTTCCATTTTTATGGACGAGAAACAAGTGAACATCTGAATGGTAGGGGGTTTATAAGATCATTGTGGAGAACGTTTGAGACCATTTGTAGGATAACAACAAACATTTATGTGAAACTGAATTATTATCAGGTCAAGGGCTTGGGATTGTTTTACATTTTTTCGGTATTGATACCACAGCAATACATAAGCTTGTCTATCCTAACATGTTAAATATAACAATGTGAAAAGGGAAATTAATAGCTATATTGCTCTCAGTTATGGCTCAGTAAATGTGGTGCACATATGTAAACAAGGAGGGAATGTTAATTTGTATGGTAGCCACAGTGTGCACAAAAAAACTTTCTTTTTTGGAAAGACATAGGTTGCTTATTATATAGTTCTGGGTAAGAATAAGGATGGAAGGTGTCTACAATGGTATCATCTTATCTGCAGTATCCATGCTATAAGGTTTATATGTGACAGTGTTTTCAGCCATGCTAGCAGCATCTCCATCTATGACTGGCAATGCCATGTACCAGTGTTTGGTTGGGTTAATTGGTCAATCCATCACTTTGGTCAAGCCTTAATTATTGGTACCATGTTCCAAGGCTCTGTCTTTGCTGCAGTGGCCATAATAAGTGGCCATCCTAATGATTATGATGACCTCTATTGCTACCAGCAGGTTAAAAATGTCACATATTCTGTGGAATATCTCAACATGTACTCGATGGATGACTTTCGTGATCCCCTGACTTTTCATCTAGCCCCGTCAGCATGCTAACAAGCTAACAGGATAAACATTATACCTGCAAAACAACAGCATGTTACCACTGTCATTGCGTGCCTAAGTACAGCCCCACAGAGCTGCTGTAGCATGGGTGTAGACTCTTAGTCTTGATGTCTCTATGAAACATCCACATGCAGTCAAGAGTGAAGTTTTCAGGTCAGCCAAGCCGATCACATTTCCCTAATTCCCTAAGCAAATATGCATCTTAGAACACCTACTCATTTTTTATCTACTGTATAGAGATTGATCACGTTTCACAGTGTGTGAGCAGGAGATGTATGACTGCCTCCAACCATGTAACTCTGACAGGAAATACTGTATCTCACTTTGATAATATTTGAATCAGAGGTGACTCAGAGATCTTTCATTATGTATAAGCAGTGGTGGCTGCCCAAAAATGATTTAAATTAAACAAACAAAAAGATAATTAATAGATTAGTGAATCAACAGAAAACTACATCTATTCATCCTTTACTTTTAGAAAATCAGCAGATTAATCAATAATTGAAATAGTCGTTAGGTGCAGCCCTCATTATTTGTGCTCGCTGCTGGACATCAAGGTCTCCTGGTGAAGAAATTAACTGACAACACACATTTGAAGAGTAACTTTCCCACAGCCCACATCCCTCTTGTGTAACCCCAGCCAATATTGGGTAAGGCATAGCGTGCACACCACAACCACAAACATATGCAAATAAATCAGACACCCCAGCTCCTTGTTTCTTGTAAGAGGCAGTGCTTATTTCTGTCTGTTGACACTCATGCACAGAAAATAGCGACTGGGCAAGCGAGCTGTGTACTGCACTATGTGGTGCTTAAATGAGCTTCTGTTTAACAGGCGAGATTACAGTATACTGGAGATAAAAAGATGAAAAATCAAAGAGAACACTAAACATAATCTAAAACAGAGAACCTAAAGGATAAGACTGACAATTATTCTATATTTTTCTTATTGTCAGCAAACCCCATGACCAAAACTAAGACTGAATTGAACCTACATTACTAACAATTATAGTCAGCATAGTCAAAGCCTCAAATAGCTGATTCCTCAGTGCCATAGAGCGCCATTGTTGCCAGAAACTGTATTCTAAAATATTTTTGATTATATCATGCATCAATGAGCCATACTTCCTTCATTACTGTGAACGGACAGTTTATTTTCAGTCTGTCCCACATACACCGTCCTGCTGCTGTTAATACTCACTGAAAGAGGAAATGTGTATTAATATGTGGCTTAAAAATAGTCCCCTACCAATACCATGATTTAGCATTTCACATAAAAAACACACTGCACAGAGGAAAATGATACTCTTGATTGTTTTCCAATTTCACAAATCTATTCCCAAGTTTAAATATAAAGCGTGACTGAATTGAGAGTTTATCAGTCAGTAGTGTGGCCTGTTCACTGGACAACCACCAGAGGACCTCAGTGTACAGGCACAACACTATATTCAGCTACTGGCAACATAAACTCACAGTCTGCTTTTCCCTACAAGAAGTATTTTTATTCTCACAATATAGTTACAATTTTTACAATAACAAAATTATATATATATACAATACAGAAGGAAAAAAAGAGAGAAAATGTATATACAGGCAACACTGACTGTGGGTTTACTTGTAAAGCTCCCCATATGGCTCTCCCTCCATTAGAAATGTAAACAAAAGGAGGACACTGTCTTATGGATTTGACTGTACCATCAGAGGAGACTAAAGCTAAGTGGTGCAGCAGTGTGTCAATCTCAAATACGATTGCTGCAGGTCACATTACAGACTTCTGACAGGAATAACTGCCAAGCTGCGGCAGCAAGATAAGACAAAGATACCCCTCTTAGAGGAAACATTCATGATTTTTGTATCCCCCAGGGTTGATGTTAAAACAGTGCTGAACACAAACAAGAAGAGACAACCCTCTATAATCTATTGTAAAAAAAAACAAAAACTAGAAAACTGTAAAAGTGCTTATGTTGTTTGTGTATATTCAGAGTAAGACATGTTTAATTCAGTTAAGACTTACACAACAGTAACCTACCTTTCTACATGAGGACAGACTGGCGGTGACTAGATCCACTGCGCATAAAGATTATTTTTAATTTTTTCCCATTTTATTGTAAATAGGTATAATTATCTACACATTAGTGGGGTATTTCTTTAACTTCAGGGTCATGTATTTAACTAAACCAGCGCTCAGATATGCGTATGTTTCAGAATTTCAGATTAAATTAAGATTAAGTCAAAAGAAAAACTACCAACCTGAGGCAAAACTTCATTAAAAAATTTACAGGAAGTACAAAAGTACATGATTACTGCTATAATTAGTGGTATTTAATAGACACATATAGAAAACAGGTGAAATGAACAGGGAGCTGAGCAGTTCTGTTACGCAACCATGTTAATGTAAACATCACATATTAAGTATACAGTCACAGACAGCGTTTGAACCTAAATGCTGAGATGTAAACCAACCAAATTGAAAAACAAGTGACGGCTTGCTTTGAGTTTTGAGATCTTTGTGAGGGGACCAAATATTAAAAACAATAGACAAAACATTTATGAGACATGCATATATCAGTGATGAAGTCATCATAGAAAACAGGAAGGTCTGTGTTTTACACAACTTCTCTAACTTGACCTGGAAGGGATATAAATAGTGCAATATAAACTGGGTCTTTCTGAAAGAGCCACTCAGGGACAGATGTTAACTGCATTAGCTGGCCTATGTTATTGTTGTTCACTAATAAAGAGAGATCAGGGTTTCATTGGTAGGCTTGGACAAATGTGAATAAGATAAGCCTTATTTTTCAGTTATTAATTCACTTAAAACTCCACCATAGAAAATTGCTAGTGTCTAATTAAAATAATTAGCATGTAGAGCCCTCATATCGACTTGATTTTTCACAAATGAAAACAAATTAAGTGACAATTGTTAGCCATGAAATAGTACAATTTCAGTGTGGTTCTCATGATGAAGTAGTGTTGTGTGCCTAATACTTATTTAATTTTCAATTATTGCTCTCTGTAGAGTTGGACAATAGTGCCACATTCAGGGGAAGCCAAAATATCTTATAATCCTATAAAGGGTAATTCGGGTTTAGCCATGTATTGTTCAAGTTACTCTTTGGGTAGAAACTGGAGCCCACAGTTAAGTTTTCTGCTAATAGCCATATCAGAAGCTAAGTTATTGCTCACCCATATGAAGCCCTCCCCCACAGGGTGCATTTAAATTCACCAGAAAATCCAATGTTGACATCCGCCATTTGAGCAGTTTTGGCCAATTTATTAAAATATGTTTAGGATGTTTCAGAGCTTACATTTTAAGATTGATTTTTCACTAGAGCTATCATATCACAGATATGTTTCACGCTCAAATGATGAACACTTCAAAGTTCTCTATAGCCAGTGTGCATTTAGCTGAGAAATCATTATAATAATAATAGTGTCCTTAAATTGGAAACATCAATTAAAGTACCATTTAACTCCACCAATATAGAAAGAAAATGCATTACCGAAAAGAGGGACTTAGAAGTGGTAATTGAATATTACAGCCACATTATTTTTTATTTAACTATTACACTGTTTATATAATTTTTTACTTCCTTAATTGTTATATTTACTGATGTCTATATGGCAATTACTGGTTATTACCAGAGAAAACCTTGCACTCCAGTTCCACTTTTAACCCAAAAAGACACTTAAATATTGCATGAAAAACAGGAATTATTACATTCATTAACACTGTGTAACCTCTTCTTCTAATGTGGAAAATTCAGCTCCATTAGTGAGACTTTGCATCAACTGCTAACACTACTTCCTTGACTGGTGAAAAACAACAAGAGGACATAATTAATTGTTAATTGTCTTCTGCTGTTTGCTATACAATTGACTCTCTCAGGTTTGCATGTAGGGTCAAGAGGTGTTGGCTGGGGGCAGAATGTAATAAAACCTCATTAGTAATTTCTACAGGTACTACCATGATATTTGGCTCAGAGGGTTCGGGATCACACTGGGCCCCTGTGTACTGCGACAGTGTCTCAGGAGTAGGAGGCTGTTGGCTTGCTAGAGTTTCTAAAGCAATCCGCTCCATCTCC